TGTAGTTTTCTGAGTAGAGGTCTTTTACCTCTTTAGTTAAGTTAATTCCTAGGTATCTTAATTTTTTTGGTGTGATAGTAAATGGGATTGCTTTTTTAGTCTCTCTTTCTGTAAGTTCACTATTGGTGTATAGAAATGCCATAGATTTCTTGGTGTTGATTTTGTATCCTGCTACATTGCCGAATTCATTTCTTAAGTCTAATAATTTTTTGATATAGTCTGTAGGGTTTTCTGTGTACAGTATCATGTCATCTGCGAATAATGATAGTTTTACTTCTTCTTTTCCAGTTTGGATGCCTTTATTTCTTCTTCTTGTCTGATCGCAATGACTAGTACTTCCAGTACTATGTCGAACAGGAGTGGTAAGAGTGGCCATCCCTGTCTTATTCCTGTTCTTAGGGGAAATGGTTTTAGTTTTTGCCCATTGAGTATGATGTTGGCTGTGGGTTTGTCATATATGGTTTTTATTATGTTGAGGTATGATCCTTCTATTCCCACTTTGCTGAGAGTTTTTATCAAAAATGGGTGTTGGATTTTGTCAAATGCTTTTTCTGCATCGATTGATATGACTATGTGGTTTTTATCTCTCAATTTGTTTATGTGATGTATTACGTTTATTGATTTGCGGATATTGTACCATCCTTGCATCCCTGGGATAAATCCTACTTGGTCACGGTGTGTGATCTTTCTGATGTACTGCTGGATCTGATTTGTGAGGATTTTGTTGAGGATTTTGGCATCTATGCTCATGAGGGATATTGGCCTGTAATTCTCTTTCATTGTGTTGTCTTTATCTGGTTTTGGTATTAGGGTGAGTTTTCACAGTAAGTACATTTTTTTGCTGAGCATACAGTTTAATCAACAGTTACATATATTGCAAAGTTCATTTTTATTGGCCATATCAAGAATTTATTAGTAGTTTTAACATGTTGGTGTATGCATATTTTATTATTCACTGCCATATAACTTTTATATAGTATACATATCTTAAGTGGATTTTTACATACACACACAGTATATATTTAATTGCCATCCAGATCAAGAAAGTCCCTCATACTCCTTCAAAGTCAGTATTAACTTATATTTTGAGCAAATTTCTTATGGTATACTTTTGTTCAATTGAATCGATGAAAGGAAAGATTTAGTAAAATACAAAATATTACTTGAATGTTTTTAATTTTATTCTAAGATGTTAAATTTGCTTGAGTGTTTTCTTCTTGAATCCCTTGAAAACAGATTATAGAAAGAGTTACTGAGACTTGTTGATTTAGTAACTGTCACGTTGTTATATTTTATTTCGTAAGGTGTTTGTGGAATTTGTGGTATTTGTTAACATAATTTTTATAGTAGTATAATAAATGATGGTTGTGAAATTTTTAGGGTAGTGTTATACCATCTTTAATATAAGCATTAAAAGTTCAGTAGATTTTAGTTTTCTGTTTATATAGGTTGTGCTAAAAATTCATTTTTCATAGATGTCTTAATTTTTAATTATTTCTAAATATGTTATAGCAATATACAAAGAAGTACTTTTTGTCTGGAACTGAGGAAAGTACATATTGATTTAACAGTGTGACAGTTGAAGATTTAGATTGCTCTTTTTGGGATATATTGTTTTGTCCTCCAAATCTTCCCTTTATATATCTTGATCAGTCTGAATTTATTTCAGATAGACTCAATACCTAATTTTGATTTTGTTTATAACATGAACATATCATGATGCAATATAAAAAAATGATAATTGGCCTTGGCTGGCATGTCTCAGTGGTTAGAGCATCGACCTACGCACCGGAGGGTCTTGGGTTCAATTCCCAGTCAAAGGCACATACCTGGGTTGCAGGTTCAATCTCTATCCCAGGTCAGGGCTCATGTGGGAGGAGGTAACCAATCTATGTGTCTCTCTCACATCAATGTTTCTCTCTCCCCTCCCCCCTTTCCTTTCACACTCTCAAAAAAATCAATGGAAAAATATCCTGACTCCTCGGGTGAGGATTAAAAAAAAAAAAAAAGATAATTACATGGCATAGATTGCTTGAGGTTGGAGGCATCCTACCCTGGGGGTTCCATGAATCCTGAGCATACAGAGGGACTCAGGGATTCAGTGTCCCAGCACACCTGTAATGTACACACAGTTGTGCAACAGCAAACAGGCCTGTGACTCTGATGTAAAATGCCTAAACGGTATCTTTTAATATTGATAAAAGTGACTGATTATATGTTTTGATAATAATTTGGTTTGATGATCTTGCTAGTATATTGATAATAACATAGAACTAGCATTTTAATTAGTTTTACTTGTTTCATGCCATTTTTCAGATTGGATCTGGTTCTTCTCGTCTTGGAACAGCAACAACTATTAAAGGTAGACATGATCTAACTTGAAAGTTGTCTCTGATTTTCCATTATTTTTTGGCTGTAATAAAGATAACTGAGCATTTTATATTCACATGTAATAAAAATTGTTCTTGAAATTATTTTGTAGATAAAATTATGTATCTGATACTAAAGGTTACTTGATTTAAATTGTGTTCCCTTTTCATCATTCAAATTTCACAAAGGTATTTGACCATTTGCATTACATTGCATTAATTGTAAATTTTGTTCTATTAAACTTCCTTGCCTTGAGGGAAAATACTTTTGTGGGTTTTAGTGAGATTCATGAAAAATGGAGTAATTTAATGTGAAACCTTTAAATTGGGTGCAATAAGAAAGGGAAAATGTTTTTCTATACATCTGAAAATATGCCTTTTATTTTATACATTTACTAGAGGCCCGGTGCACAAGATTTGTGCACTGGGGAGTGGGGACCCTCAGGCCGGCCTGCACCCTCTTGCAGTCCGGGACCCCTCGGGGGATGTCCGCCTGCTGGCTTAGGGCCTAAGCTGGAAGTCAGACACCTCTCTCGCAGTCCGGGGCTCTTGCAGTTCAGGACTCCTCGCTCCTTACCGCCTGCCTGCAGTAGAGGTGGTAGAGGCTCCTGCCACTGTTGCTGTGCTCGCCAGCCGTGAGCCCAGCTTCTGGCTGAGGGGTGCTCCCCCTGTAGGAGTGCACTGACCACCAGGGGACAGCTCCTGCGTTGAGCGTCTGCCCCCTGGTGGTCAGTGCATGTCATAGCAACCAGTCGTTCTGCCGTTTGGTCTATTTGCATATTAGGCTTTTATTATATAGGATTTCAAATAAATTTATATTATTTTAATCTTACAATTTTTTAGCTTACTAATTTGCCCTGGGAAATTTATGTTGTTTCAATTTCAATTTTCATTAAAAAAAAAAAAACACAACTGCTTCTTTTTAAAGAAATAGTTTTATTAGCTAACAATATAAAGCTTTCCATATTATTTGTTTTTAGTGCTATTAGAATAATTATGTGGTCTGATAGTCTACTGCTTTTGTAGCTAGAGAATACTGACACAGCATATAGTGAACTAATATAGTAGATATCTACTGTACTCTTTGATGTCCTTCCTTGTTATGTCAGTGTACAGTTGTTATTTTTAATATAATATCTTCACATGTTTCTCTTAACTTTGTAGGAGATACAGACACTGCTAAGACTTCTGATGATATCAGTTTAAGTCTGGGCCAGAGCTCTAGTCTTTGTAAGGAAGGAAGTGAAGAACAAGGTAAGAACATTATACCTCACAGTGACATGTATTGTGTGGATCAGGGTGAATTTGTAGAATATGCTGCTCACATTTTGGCAGAATTTTATAACAATTTAATAATTGTTTTTAAAAGAAACTTTAAAGTAAAATTATTTAATAGGATAATAAAACAGAGTGCTGTAAGTACTTTTAGCTTTCTGGAATTCAGTTATACATGTTCTGCCAACTAAACATGAAGAGACAAGTTTTATGAGCATATGCCCTAGAGTGAATATGAGATGGGAGATAAGAATCTGCTATTCCTTTAGTTGGTCAGAGCATCTTGCCTAGCTTAATGATAACCTAGTATATAAAACTGTTGTTTTTCCATTTAGTGTGACCTCTAAATGCCAGCTGCTTCATATCTTGTTCAACAATATGTTTTAATGGAGAAATAACTTGCTGTTGGAGTTTCTGAGAAACTATGTTTGCCTCCAGCATGGTGCCTGCCTCCTCTAGCATATTTTTAATAGAAATTTTGGCTTCAAGTGATTTTTCCCCCTCCTTATTCAACTCAATCATAAATGAGTATTTTGGATTTTCTTGGAGTTTTCTTTTTTAAAGAACTGCCAGATTTTTCTGTTTGAATTTTAATTTTCAAACATGAAAGGATGAATATGTCATCCTGAATTTTAAGTGGAGATTATTCCAGGTTATAATCAGTGAGACAGAAAATTGTCTTATTTCTAGCCTGTTGTTATTATTAGCCTGGGGAGAGGGGGGTAGGTAGACAGGCTGATAAATTTCCTGTATTTAATTATGAAACTTATTCATGAAATTACAAACAGATCACAAAGTTATGACATTTTCCCATGAATACAGGTCCAATTCCTACAAGTAGATTTTGTTTCTGGTACTTGGAATTTTAAGTTTATCACTGTAACCCTGCTGTTTTAGAATTATAGTACCACAATCATTGTTTATTTGTTTTTGTGGGCTACCCCTGCCAACCTACTCCTCCCTGCCAAAAAATACTCTTGAGCATACTGTATGATATGGAAACTATTTTCTCAAAAAGTAAAGGTGGATTGATCCATTTGAGAGTTATAGTATCCCTTTTTATAATATTTAATTATCAGGATGTCTCAAAAACTAGGTATCGTAGAAGGGCTAGTGCATTTAGGGGTCATATGTCTTTTTATTTTCTATCTGGGAAGTAAGAATTTTGTAATGTGGCAAGTTAGGAATTATATACACACAAACATACCCTTGCAGATACATAATGACTAGATAATGATGTTCACTGAGTGCATGTTGTTATCTAGATTAGGGGTCAGTAAACTTTCTATAAACAGTCAGATCATTTTGTAGGCTATATGGTCTCTCTTGTAACTACTGAACTCTGCATTGTAAAGTGAAAGAGGACATAAATAACACATAAATGAGTGGGCATGGCTGTATCACCTGACTCATATAGGCCTTAGTTTGTTAACCCCTGGTTTAGGTCTTCTTTTCAGCCTTTATCAGGGATGGGGAACATCCGGCCCAAGGGCCAGATAAGGCCTGAGAGATCATTTGGTCTGGTCTTGCCAAGCATTAGGGGTGAGTTAATTAAATGTTTAACCAAATATAGCAAGCTAATTTTTAAGATGTTAATTTTGTATGGCCTGTTAATGATGTTATAAATATCCAAATGGCCCTTTGCATCAAAACGTTCCCCACTTCTGCTTTATACACATTCACCCAGTTCATCTTTAAGCATTTAATATTAATACTTTTATTCTCACTGGTCAGGTGAACATATCATGGCTTAGAGAGGTTACAAGAAACTTGCACCAAAATTACACAGCTACAAAGTGGCAGTCTAGTTTTGAATTATGCTTTTAATGCTATACTGTTATACTTTCATGTAGGTTTATCACCTGCTTTTATCACATATTTTCCCACATAGTTAACATGTAACATATCTAGTATTCATTACATGCTCAGCACTATTTTAAGTATTGGGAATAAATCACTTACAGTACTGAAAAATCAGGGAGTAGGAGGATAAGATAGGGAGTTCAGTTTTAGGCATATCAGGTATGAGATGCTGTTAGACCTCTAAGCAGCAATAATCCTATATAATAAAAGCCTAATATGCTAAGTGTCCGGTCATCCAGTTGGCCATTCAACCAATCAAAGCATAATATGCTAATGATATGCTAAGGCTGCTCAACTGCTCGCTATGACGTGCACTGATGACCAGGGGCCAGACAGTCGACTGGTTGACCAGTCACTATGACGTGCACTAACCAGCAGGGGGCAGACACTTTGACTGGTAGGTTAGTTTGCTGCTGGGGTCTGGCTGATCGGGACTGAGCAATTAGGGCTGGACATGCCCTGGAGGCCTCCCGCAGTCCTCCCTGGCTAGCCAACCTCCCACGTCCCTCCCCAGCCCCAATCGTGCACTGGTGGAGTCCCTTGGCCTGGCCTGCGCCCTCTTGCAATCTGGGACCCCTTGGGGGATGTCAGAGAGCCGGTTTTGGCCCGACGGCAGAACGACTGGTCGCTATGACACACACTGACCTCCAGGGGGCAGACGCTCAATGCAGGAGCTTCCCCCTGGTGATCAGTGCGCTCCCACAGGGGGAGCACCGCTCAGCCAGAAGCTGGGCTCATGGCTGGCAAGCGCAGCGGTGGTGGCGGAGACAGGGAACAGGCCTAAGTCGTCAGTTGGACATCCCCCGAGGGCTCCTGGACTGTGAGGGGGCACAGGCTGGCTGAGGGACCCTTCCTCCCCTCTGCACAAATTTCGTGCACCGGGTCTCTAGTCTATACTAATAAAAGGGTAATATACTAATTAGACCAGGAGACCTTCTGGGAGACCGGCTGGGGAGTGCAGTTGGGGGCCATGAGGCTGGCCGGGGAGGACAGTTGGGGGCCATGAGGCCGGCAGGGGAGGGCAGTTGGGGGCCATGAGGCTGGCAGGGGAGGACAGTTGGGGGCCATGAGGCCGGCAGGGGAGGGCAGTTGGGGGCCATGAGGCTGGCAGGGGAGGACAGTTGGGGGCCATGAGGCCGGCAGGGGAGGGCAGTTGGGGGCCATGAGGCTGGCAGGGGAGGACAGTTGGGGGCCATGAGGCCGGCAGGGGAGGGCAGTTGGGGGCCATGAGGCTGGCAGGGGAGGACAGTTGGGGGCCATGAGGCCGGCAGGGGAGGGCAGTTGGGGGCCATGAGGCTGGCAGGGGAGGACAGTTGGGGGCCATGAGGCCGGCAGGGGAGGGCAGTTGGGGGCCATGAGGCTGGCAGGGGAGGACAGTTGGGGGCCATGAGGCCGGCAGGGGAGGGCAGTTGGGGGCCATGAGGCTGGCAGGGGAGGACAGTTGGGGGCCATGAGGCCGGCAGGGGAGGGCAGTTGGGGGCCATGAGGCTGGCAGGGGAGGACAGTTGGGGGCCATGAGGCCGGCAGGGGAGGACAGTTGGGGGCCATGAGGCCAGCTGGGGAGGGCAGTTGGGGATGAGCAGGCCAGCACAAGGGGGGGGGGGCAGTTGGGGGCAAGCAGGCCGGCAGGCAAAGTGGTTAGGGGCGATCAGGCAGGAAGACAGGTGTGCAGTTAGGAGCCAGCAGTCCTGGATTGCGAGAGGGATGTCTGACTACCGTTTTAGGCCCGATAGCACAGGGCCTAAACCAGCAGTTGGACATCCCTGAGGGGTCCCAGATTGGAGAGAATGCAGGCCGGGCTGAGGGACCCCTTTCCTTCCCCATCCCTGTGCACGAATTTCATGCACTGGGCCACTTGTTCTATATAATAAAAGGCTAATATGCAAATCAACCAATTATGGAACAATCGGTCCCTATGATGCACACTGACCACCAAGGGGCAGACACTCAACGTAGGAGCTGCCCCCTGGTGCTCAGTGTGCTCCCACAGGGGGAGCGCCGCTCAGCCAGAAGCTGGGCTCACGGCTGGTGAGCACAGTGGTGGTAGCAGGAGCCTCCGCAGTAGTCGGACATCCCCTGAGGGCTCCCAGACTGCAAGAGGGCATAGGCTGGGCTGAGAGACTCCCGCCCCGAGCGTACACATTTTGTGCACCAGGCCTCTAGTTAATAGATTATTAGGTAGGTCTGGATTTCAGGTAAGATGTCTGAGTTCAGGTTGTAAAATTGGGAGTTTTCAGTGTATAAATACCATAAAGTTTCATCATGTCAACTGTAAGGTTGTGTTATGAAGTTCATAACAAAGCAAGCCTGCATAGTTGGCCAGCTTGGAGTTAGGTGACCGGGCTCCCTGTTCCAAATCTGTTAGTCTTGGCTACGATTTGGCACCACCTAGTGGCAATTATTCATTCTGGCTTAAATATCAGTTGAGGCTCTTTGGTTTCTCTGGGTGGTTTGGCTTTACAGGACATTGACCTTTAGTTAGTTGGTTAGTTGATTAGCTGGCACTTGTTTTATCAGCATGATTCAGGGTAATTAGGAGAAAACTGAGCATGTGGAAAGGTGCACTCTTCTTTTTCACTTCTAAGGAGAGATTGCCCTCATTCATGTCTTCCCGACTCAAGATCAGAACTTTACTTAGCCCATCCCCATAAGAGTAGGGGGCTGGGTAGAAGATGGAGAAACTAGTTACCAGTATTTCTGAATTTTATTATCATGGGGCCAGAAAAATGAATGAGTTTTCTATAGAAAAGAGAGACTACAGATAGAAAAATGAAAGTTCCAAGGATTGAGCTCTGAACCACTTCAGCTTAGTAAGTCCAGGAGGCTGAACATAACAACTGGTGAGGTAGAAGGAACACCAGCAGCGCTGTGTCCATTGTTTCAGGGAAAGGGATCAGATCAGCTTCGTCAAATGTTGCTAATAAGTGGCTGAGACTTGACCATTGGATGTAACAGTGTTGTTGGCGACTTTGATAAACATTTTAATGAGTGGGATTAGAATACATGTAAGAGAGAATTAGAGGAGAAGAAATGGAAAACAGTTAGTATAGACTACTCTTTTGTAAAGGGGGTCAGAAATAAAAGGTGCAAGAGGGGAAGTGAGGATAAAGGGAAGATTTGGATTTTGTAAGAATAGGTAGGAGAAATAACAGCTTGGTGTGTGTTTTTATAATTGATGGGGATGATCCAGAAGAGAGGAGGAGAATGTGATTTTTGTTTATAAAAGTAGTATGTGGTAATTTAAAAAAATACAGTTATGTATGAAGAAGAAAATAATTCACACTTCTGCCACTGAGCTAACTGTTGTTAATATTTTTTTAGTGTATCACTTTTTTCTTATTTACTATGGTGATATAATCCACATACCATAAAATTTACCCTTCTAAAGTGTAAAATTTAGTGAGTTTTAGTATATTTGCAACGTTGCGCACCCATCACCACTATCTGATTCCAGAATATTTTCATTATGTCACAAAGAAACCCAAATCCCATTATATTCCCCATTTCTTTCTTCAGCCAGCCCCTGGCAACTTATAATCAATTTTTTGTCTATGCATTTGCCTATTCTGGACATTTCATATAAATGGAATTGTATAATATGCGGCTTTATGTGTCTGCTTCTTTTATTTTGCATGTTGTAGCACGTATGAGGACTTTATTTCTTTGTATGGCTAAATATGGTGTATTACTTTTAACATCCCCACAAACATGCACACATACCCTAAGTATTCTTTTGAACTATTACAGATTCAAATATTTAATGCCATCTTTTTCACTTAAGTATTTTCTCATATTAATACATATTTTGAAAACATTTTTAGTGCTTGCATGTTAATAGACCATAATTTTTTCAACCTTTTTTTATTGGAGATTTTTATGCTTTTTATGTTTTAAGAAGTTTTATCAGAACCTGAGTTGAATAATTTTTTGCTAAAACCTTATATGCTTATTTCAATTTATCCTTTAGCAGCAATCTCTAGAAATTGATTACAGATGATGGGTGAATATACTTTTGAAAGGCTTTTGGCTGTATTGCCTGATTGCTTTACAGAGGTTACACCAATTTTTACCACTATGAGCAGAATATGAGCATGTCTTTCTTATCCTAAACACCACTAGTAACAATCATTGGGAAAAAAATTAATTATATGAAAAATAGTATCATTCTGTATTGATTTAAGCCTATCTTTAACTATATGACTACCAATAAGAAAAATGTCTAAGAACACATATTTACTAAAAAGGTTCCTAAAGTCACCTAAAGTTAAACTTTTTAAGGTATACTTATTTTGCAATGTTGAAAAAAGTGCATGTGCTGAAGTAAGTTTGACTGTCTTTTAAAATGAAAAACTTAAATTTCTGCTTCATTAATGTCATAGAAGGTAGTTGGTTTTGATTGCTGGCATTTTTTAAAAAGTCTTTTGTTGTACATTAGAACTAGCAATTTTTAGCTACTTGTTCAGTTCAGTTTCTGTTGTATAAAATTCATAACCTTGAAATGTGAATATCACAACATTCCATAGTTGCTTGTTAGAGATACATAGAGAGTTTTTAGAAATAACTTTATAATTTCATACTACAAAAAAGTAAATACAGTGCTAACTTTAAAATTTTGGTATTTAGAGAATATAAGACCCCAAGCATAGTGACAGTTATTTTGGACAAATGATAAGGAACATGGATTTTACTTTTCTTGAAGACTTTTTTTTTTTAAAAAAATATATTTTATTGATTTTTTTACAGAGAGGAAGGGAGAGAGATAGAGAGTTAGAAACATCGATGAGAGAGAAACATCGATCAGCTTGACTGGAATCGAACCTGGGACCCTTCAGTCCGCAGGCCGACGCTCTAGCCACTGAGCCAAACCGGTTTCGGCTTCTTGAAGACTTTAAAACATAAGATATTAATCTTAGGGAAAATTTTTGTGCTTGTATTGTTAAGATTCTACTGGGAAAAATTTGACTTACTAAGGAATCTATTATTATAGTTTGTCTATGCAGTTACGACACATAAAAATAATTTTTCTTTTTATTGAACTAACAGAAGATTCAACCATTTTTGTCTGTCAAAAGTGTATTGAAAATTAGCTAATGTGCAGTTTGGTTGTCAAACCATATTTCAATATAAATTACACTATAGGTAGGTAGATGGATTTATTTATATTTGAATACGTATTATATATGGTAACCTAAGTCACTAATAACTAATCACTTCCCTAACGGAGGGTTAAAGGAATAGTCTCATAAGGGGATATATATTTTTTCATGAGGCATTTTGTAATTGTTGCATCAACAATGAAACAAGGAGATGCAGGATTTTGCCTCTTAATTTTAATCTTTTCAATCATTACAAACATCAAGATATCTTCTTTCTTTTCCCCCTTGGCTGTTTTTTAAAAAAATATATATTTATTTATGGATTTCAGAGAGGAAGGGAGAGGGAGAGAGAGATAGAAACATCAATGATGAGAGAGAACCACCTATCGACTGCCTCCTGCATGTCCCGTACTGGGGATCGAGCCCACAACCGGGCATGTGCCCTTGGCCGGAATCGAACCTGGGACCCTTCAGTCCGCA